ATTTACTTTTCGAATTCTATAACGATTTAGTTAAATCTACTATTAATCGTTAGTTTATGCTTCATTCATTTTATTTTGGATCTTTAAACTTTAAGTTAACAGTGGAATTTTAAAGTCCTTGGAGTTGCCTAAGACAGATTAGTATCCCATTTTGCATGAAGGCATCCCTCTCTCTTGTAAATCGTCTAAAGGCACAAAACTCAACTTTAAACTAATGTTTTTCTAGCCATCCTAATAGACCTAGAAGGAGAAGGTTGTTGGGAAAATCTTACTTTTTTACTTTATAGCAAAGTAAGTGGTATGCCCCACATCCAAATCTGTTGCCTGTGGCGTTGCTTTAGGATTTTTTTTGAGGAAACAATAATTAAAAGGGTTATTCTAGTAAGTGCTTAATTAGTTCTGCTCCTTTTGATGAGAGTTATTAGGTTTTTTTTTTTTTTTTTGATCCCCTTAACTTAGTTTTATGGTTTTGCAATTTTCTTATTGTGGAATAAAATTTCTCTAAAAAATTAATTAAAAAAAAAAGAGAAAAAGTTATCTTTGTTTGACTTAAAGAAAATAGAAAGTGAGGTTCCTTCTCCTGATTTAGTTATGCTAAAATTATACTATAAGAAAATAACGGAAAGCTCCGTCTGCTCTCCTTTCCCACCCTTTAATTTTTGTTTTTCAAATAGGAAAATTTAACTACCCCAGTTAATCTCCTCTCCCCTTAAAACAAGCAAGCTATTAACTTTAGGAATTTAATTATCCTTTCCTACTACTTTTATCTAAGGATATCCTTTCTTACTACTAATTGTTAGGATTTAAACACCTTCAATGTCATTTAATGAGAAAATCATCACAAAAAATATACAAACGAATAATAAAGCAAATAATAAAAATAAAAACACTAAATTTAATGTGTAAAACATTACTTCCAACTTTAGTAAAAAAAAAAAGAGCAAAGATAGAAGAAATCTACTAATTACTGACAAAGTTTCAATAATTTGGAAGCACAGTCTCATAGATGAAAACCCAAAGGCTTATCCAAGAGGAGGTAAATTGGGTATGTAAATACAACTAAACAATGTTTAAATTTTTTGACTTAGGTTTTTTTTTTTTTAAAAAAAATTAAACAATAAAAAAATCACACAAACAATATGAAAACAGAAAATTAAAAGTGTAGGAAATAAATGCTCAAACCATGACTTATAATAGTTTCGTCCAACCCAAAGTACTTCTACTTCTTAAGCTTTCTTACTTGAGAGTTTAATCCACTAAAATCCTCTTGCTTATAGGAGTAATTAAATCAAAACACACTTTTGCTTGCAAGTGCAAAATTAAATGCTCACACCTAACTTCTAGCTACTAGGAACCATTTAAAAGTGTAGTATCTCTCAACCTCACTCACCCCTCCAAGAATCAAATTTTGATTCAAGGAGAATACTAAACCATTTGTGTGAACAAAGAAAACCTCCAAAGAAATCCCTCAAGAAAGGAGAACAATTAAGCTCACAAAGCTTTTAGCAAGGCTTAGAAATGACTACCTCTTGTCAAGAATCCTTAACTCTCCAAATCTAGAAAATTCTCAATTTATTGTTGCTCTTAGATATGATATTGTAAAAGTGATCCTAGGAAGATGCAGCCACTTGCCTTTTCGATGAGTCTCTTTGTGTTGTCCAAGGGCCTCAAAAATTGTTGCAATAAAAAACCCCTTTATTCTTCATCTTTTCAATTTAAATCTCAAATAGTTTGCCTTGAAAAAAAGGAATTGATTTGCAAAAAATGCTCAATAAATTCGCTACTTGCTAAGCTGTCGAAAGTGTCCTTTCTAGGACTTTTGATTCGAATCCAAAAATATTAATTTTAACCACTTTAGAGAAACTCTGAATTCTATCATATGAGATTGGTTTGAATCAATTTATATTGATTCGAATCTAAGACTTTGATAGAAACCTCACCATATGATGCAATGTAAAATGATGATAATCAAGCCTAGATCAGAAGACTGAAACAACCCTAAAATCCATCAAAACCTCTAGAATCCACCAGAAAATCCAGAGATAATTCTATAAAATAAGTTTGAAATTTTATGCATCAAAAGCTACTTTGGCTAGTAGATAGCCTTACGATAAATAATCTTACTATATTGTAAAAATTATTAAAATTTTTAATAAACTTTGAACAAATACTCAATTGGTCTTTTAAAATCTTTAATAAATCTTTTTATAATATTGATAAAATCTTGAATAAAGACTCAATGGGCCTTAATTTCTTAAGAGTTTAAAACCCATCTTAAACTTAGGAGTCTAACATTCAGGTGTTATTATTACCACAACCCTATTTGTTAATGCCACAACTTTCTTATTTAAGTAACAATTTTTTTTTTTTTTTTATTATTGGTTGCAAAACAGGAGGCAACCCTCTTCCATTCCTTATCTCACCCCACCCATATGCTATATGACTCGAACTCAAGATCTCTTATTTTCAACGGAAGAAGATTATTACTGAACTACTTAGATCGTTAGTTATTTAAATAAAAATCATACCCCTTCATTATATGTATTTTTGTGCACTGCGTGGAGCCGTTTTTCCTCCAATTGTGTTCTTCACTACCCTGTCATGTAGGGTTGTTCAACCTAAATCATCGATTGATTTGATAAAAAGTAACTAATTCAACTAAATCCAATTTAAACCGACATCAATTTGGATTGGTTTAGACTATAAATTTCTAAAATTGATCCAAATGATTTAGTTTGTGGTTTTGTTTTTAAACTGACCAAACCGTCTAATTACAAAATAACTTAATTAAATAATATAATATTTTTATTTTTTTTATTTTTTGATAAATATATTTTTAGAATTTTTTTGTAAAATAAGAATATAATATTATTTTTAGAATTTTTATTTTTTATATAAATTGTATTTTAAATTTTCCTTTCTTGTTTACTTTTTTTGTTCCTCTAGTATAATATTTTTTATAGTTGTAATATAATATTAATTGTATCATTATTTTAATTTATTTTTATACTATAATTATACAACATAACTTAATTAACTTAATTAAAAAATACTGAAGCCTTAAATAAACCCTTATAGAAACAAAAGCTATACTTTAAGAACTCTTTATGTTTGTGAGCAGTAACAGCATGGACTTACATGTTTTAGTTGCCTTATTAGTTCTTACTTTTTTTTGTAGTCTTCTTAATTCTTACTTTAATCTAGTAGTTGAGACTATGATTTTATTATCTATAATGTTATTATGTTTTATAATTGTGTTTTTTTATAATTTGATACTATAATTTTATACCTAATTAAGTATATTTAAAAGAGTAAAGATCTAGTTACACACAAGTATTACATATTATATTTATATAAAATTTTAACCATTCGTTTTTTCACTTTTAATGGTTGAGATTAACCATTCACCTTTCCACTTTCAATGGTTGAGATTTATCATGATTTTTCAGATGAAAAAGATAATTATCTCTTATAATTATAATAAAAAATAAATAAATCTCAACCATTAAGAATAGAGAGGTGAATGATTAAGTTTTCGTATAAGTGTGATGTGTAAAATTAATATGTAAATGGATATTGACTCTATTTAAAATAATATTAAAAATTGATCAATTCAATCAAACCACATTAATTTAATTTAAGTTGAATTGATTTAATTATAATATAATAATAAATTAAATTAATTTAAAAATTTTAATAACTGATCAAATTGATTTAATTTTAAAAATATTAAAATCCAACCCAATTCACACCACAAACACCCTGCTGTCATGCTGCAATAGTTACCATGTGGCATCGGTATTGCAACAACGCACAGGATTTAAAGGAAACGCAAAATGGGTTTTCTATGGAGGTGAAAATAATTTAAAGATAAAAGAGCTAAAATGCGTAGCAAATGTTTGATGAAAAGACTCAGAGAAAGAATATATTAAAATTTTGGTTGAACTATTGAAGGGGTGATGTTTAAGTCGCAAGCTAATTAACTCAGAACTGAGGAGAGAACACTGAGGATGAGGGGGAAAGCAAGGAGAAAAGAGAGAAATTGCTACAATTCTATGCCCCAACTGCGGTTTGATATTGTTCAAAAAATGCACTTTCAGAAATTAGAGGACCCTAACTTTTCTTTTTGCTAATTCAATCTTGAATCTGATTATCTAAGTTAACTGCCTCTTCTTTCATGAAGACAGCAGAGTAACTCAAGATCTGGGTACTTCCATTTAGGGATTGAAGAATGGAAAATGATTGGTTCATATTCGGTTCGAAATACTTGTTGATGCTCATTTAGTTCAAAATTTTAAAAATATAATATAACTATAGTTGGTTTAACCCATTTATATATCTTGTGTGCATAGTTGCATCTCTAAATTTGTTAATTTTTAATTTTAAACTAAGAAATAATAATTTTTTAATGAGTAAATTGTGCATTATATTAAATTAGAATCTGTACCAATTACTATCCTTAAAGATTTTCTTATCTTTTTAACAAAGGTTTAACGGGGATTGTTGACGTGCCAAAATGGATGGAGTCGCCATCTATCCAAATGAGGTGGGATAGATCACCAAGGTCTACGTAGAAATTGACCAGGTTCGGAGGCTCAATTAAGCATGGGAAGGTGTTAGGCACCCCACAACTTCCATATAATATGGTTACCACATACTTTAATTTTGGGGAATTTTCAATTTTTATCAAATAATAATAACTACCAAATAAAATAAAATGAACAAAAAAAACTTTAAAAAATCACCTCAAAAAAAAAAAAAAAACAATTCCTCAATCATTTTTTTTAATCTCCGTTTCCTTTTTTTCGTTTCTGTTTTTTTCTTTTTTTCTTTTTTTCTTCATTTCTGCTTCCTTCTTTTTTTCGTTTCTGCTTCCTGCCCTTTTTCGTTTCTTTTTTTTTCGCTTCTGTTTTTTTTCCTTTTTTTTTTTAATTTTTCTGCACTCTTTTCGTTTCTGTTTCTTTTCTTTTTTCCTTTTAATACCTAAACTCACTTCCTACCTCAAAAAAAAACTTCTATTTCCCAATTCTGCACATCATTTAGAACCTCCTACATGTAACCATGAAAACAAATTTCATCCTAAATCTTGATCTCATCCATCGAACACCTAATTAACTTACACAGATTAATTTTACCAACGAATAAGATATTTTGCAGCAAGTCTTCATCACATCCAATTTATAGAACAACTAACAGAGACATGCAAGATTAACCATGCTGTTAAATAAAATAAAAAAAAAAACAAAAAAACAAAAATCAACCAAAAATGAATAAATCACACACCTGTAAGGAGCTGAAGGATTAAAGCTTTATTGCTTTATAAAATTTCAAATACAAGTTTCTTCTTTGCTCACCCTCTGCAGCC